GTTTTATAAATTTATAACATGTTTACTCTAACGTTCTTTTTTAAAATTCTCAGTTTCTTTCCGTGTTTTCATAATACTCAAAGATTTAAATACTTTTGGTGTTCAAAAGAAAAAGAAAGAAACAAAAGCAAATAAGGATGAGATCAAAAGAAGAATAACCCTACAAAGAAAAAGTGTGGAGTTGTGAGAGGAACAAAGATAATTCTACCACCTACTTGTATTATGAAGGTTCTGCCAAAAAATTCAAACGTTCAATTCACTAGGCATTAATCTATAACATTGACAATTTGTAAGTAACTTTAAGTTAAAATATAATGTAATCTAATTAATTTAAAAAATCACATGTTATATATTTAATAGTTTAAAAATCACTAGACAACGAGTTAGTAACTTTATGAATAAAATATTTTTGCTTTTCGGGTTATACTATAGATGATTGAAAACTTATTGAAGTTCATAATCAACTGTCAAACAATACTCATTATTCTAATGTTAGTATTTACACACAATTAATTTTGGTTCTTATCTTCTTAAGTGTTATTGACAGATTTTTTTTATTAAAAAGATTGAATGGTCATGTGAATACTTAGTGAATTTTATTCTTTAAAGTGTGTCATTATCTCTAATTTAATATTGCAGTTACTCAATTAAATGTATCCCATAAAAGCATACTTTAACTACCAGAATAATGCAATAAATTAACGGAACAAAATGTTTTAATATTTATGTTGTAAGGTAAGAGGAGGAGGTCCTCCTAATAATCTTTTGTCCGAAAGTATGTATTTCAACTAACAGTAATTTAATTTATTTTATTTGTGTAGTTAGTAGTTTTAAGAATCTATGCAACTTTTATTTTAATTTTAGTTTTTATTTTTATTAGTCTTGGACTTTCTTAATTAGATAAAACTTAAATGATCTTCATTGGTAATATACAATTGACTATACATCACATAGATTATTTGCTACAGATGAACTAAATTGATGAATTAAACCAAATGTAGTTTATTTATTGGCGATCATACAATAAAGTTCCTTTGCTGTTCAGTAGTGTATTACAGTCTGCAGCAACATTTTCCTCCTTGATATATAGTACATCATATATAAGTGTAACGGATATATTCTAGTTAACCATTCTAATATAACCAATCTACAAAACATCATATATATACCCGGTTTATCTACGTTATCATTTGTCTAACAATTGATATACTATACTATGTCTATGTGGTAATCTTTCTTGTAATGTATGTTTCCAGATGACATCCCGAGTACTAACAGAAAGGGACTGATTAAACTAATCAACCATTCTACCTTTGTAGATCATGATGCTACAGATACGGAGCCAGAATTTTAACTTTATGAGTTTTAAATTTTATAACGACTTCAAGACTGATAAATGGATTCTAAATTTAATATTTGTATATATTTAATGAATTTTTTAAACACAAATACATTAGTTGATCAGCAAAAGTTATTGAGTTCAGCCGAACCCGTACTCGGCCTTCTAGCTCTGCCAGTGATGTGCAAGACAGCATGCAGCAAAAACCAGTAGTTGTTAGAGCATTGTCGAGCTGCAGTTAAGCTGTTTCTCTTTTTTTTTGTGAAGAAAATATTTAAGTATTAATCACCATGACAAAAATACCTTTCAAAAATACAATACGGGAGTTTTGCCTTTTTTGAGTCTACCTTTCAATTTTGTACTCGTTCAATCAATTAAATTTGTCTGCAAAAAAATTATTCAATTATTTTCAAAAACGAAACCTATTTTGCCTACTAGGCTAACAGAGGTCAAACTTTAAAGAATGATACCTAAAATGTCATCCGGTGCAAATAATGCAAAGGATACAACACTACCTTAGACACTGTAGATGCTGCTGCTACTTCGGGCAAGTGCACAAATAGTCATTTTCAGGGATGATATTTAGAGACTAATCAATACTTATTTTTATTTTGAAATTTTAAACAAAACGTCTTAACTTCACGACAATTCAGGACCTTTTTGTCCTGAAAAAATTGAATTGAAAAACTGAAATTCAGGATACACTGGTTAATTCCTAAATAGCAGCCATCTAGAGTGGCCACCTGGTGTCATTTCTACTGCTACTTCCATGGGGCTGTTGGCTACTATGTAAACAAGGAGAATAGAGCTAAACAGGGTAATAAGGTGGGAGTTGGGCCAGCCGGATTCACAATATATAAATGATACGTTGATTTTATATATATATATATATATATATATATATATATATTAGCTATTTTTAATTTAAATGGTTTGGTGCACGCCTATTTAGGTTANGGCTATTTAGGTTAATTCTTCTTTATTTTGTTTCCTTCTATTTACATCATAATTTATTGGACTTGGTACAGTTTGGAATCAGATGATCCAGCCCATATGTACCACGTAAGAATCCAGCCCAACTTAATTTATTTTCTTGTAAAGAAATGTTGTATAGCATTTCATAGGGGAAGTGCACAGTTAGCCACTAATTAGAGATGTCTTTACTCTTTAGCCAGTGCTTAATAAATTTGTACTCATCCGGACGAAAATACCCTTGTGCTAGACATGGGTGATGTGTAAATATTAAGGACATGATGTCCTTAACTTCGTGAATGCTGTGTAAATATCAAGGACAAAGCGTTATGTATTTGCACCTTCCGTTGTTAAACTTTAGAACCTCATGTCCTTAACTTCATATGTGCACTGTAAATGTTAAGGACTTAGTGTCCTTAACTTTATGAGTGTTGTGTAAATATTAAGGACATTGTGTCCTTAACTTCATGAATGTTGTGTAAATATTAAGGACAAAGTGTCATGTATTTGCACCTTCCGTTGTTAAACTTTAAGAAATCATGTCATTAACTTTATATGTGCAATGTAAATATTAAGGACATGGCGTCCTTAACTTCATGTGTGCAGTGTAAATGTTAAGGACACTATGTCCTTAATATTTACACAACACTCATGAAGAAAGGATAACAACGTCTTTTCGTATTAATTTTAATAGAGTAGTGGCTATTTTTGATCCACATTAAAAATACTGAATAAAAACTAAATAACATGTTAAAAAAGTGACTACCATTTCATATCCTTTCTGGATAGCCATTTTTATATCAGGGAACATAACCCGATTTCTCTAACTCCTCCGCGCTGAACCTTCACTAGTGTTCATGAAATATTCATGGGCTTGGCATTAAAGCCATTAACTCACTTCATGGGAAAACAGCAAGATAAATGATATATTGGTGAGCGTGCCGGAGTGGTTATCGGGCATGACTAGAAATCATGTGGGCTTTGCCCGCGCAGGTTCGAATCCTGCCGCTCACGGTTTTATTCCTTTATTTTTCCAAACATCTTCTCCTTAACCAGTCAAAAAAATTTAGTGCAAAAACGCTAGAAGGAGGGCTTGAACCTCCGACCTTGTGGTTAACAGCCACACGCTCTAACCAACTGAGCTATTCCAGCTGTTTGGTTTGTTTTGTGACATTATTATATATATCAATATAGGAAGATTACATTATTCTACAGTAAAATAAAAGTGGTGACAGCAATATGCCTATTACTGTACTGTTTTCGTCTCAATAACCTGTGAACACGATAGTCGGAAAGTACGAATATCAATTTTGCCTGCTCTACTCTTTATGAGTTGATGACTGGTCTTCACCCTTATAGAAGCTCGATGTTATTATGTGAGCCTAACAATGTCCAAAGACAGGGACGAAGCCACCTTTTGCTAAGGTCGTAGAAATATTACGAAAAAGTATACTGTTTATATAAATAAAATATTAATTTTAGATGTATATAACATATACTGAACACTTTTTATCGAAAAATTTCTTTCAAGGTTTGAACACCCTTTGGAAAAATTTCTAACTTTCGCCGGTCGTAATAGTAAGGTACGGTTACTATTTATTACATTAAGAAGAACGAAAAAAAAGAATGTTTCCTCTTTACACATCTTCCCATACTTATATAAGGTTCGAGAGAGTTTTTAGCCAAAATTGTCCCTTATATTTGGGGGTAAGTCTAACTTTGTCCTTTATCTATTGTCCTGAGCACTTATTGTCTTTTAAGTTTGCTAAACTTGAGCAGGTTTAGTCCACTTAACAAAAGACCCAAACTGGTGGGTAAAAAAACTTGCAGTACTCAAATTTTGCAGAACCGATGTAATGAACCTAAACCTATTTAATAGGCCGGGTTGACTCGGTTCCGGACCGGCCTAGACCGGTAGTAAATCGAACCGGCCCGAACTGGTGGAAGGGGGCCGGGTAGGGCTGGGTTTGGGGGGTTTGGGGGTTAGTCAGTATATAATTTTTTTACCGGTTAATCGGACCGGTCAAACTCGGTCAATGAAAATTACTGTTGAACCGGTTAATCGGACCGGCCCGGTTGAGAAAAATAATGACCGGTTGCTAAGTTTTTAAAATCGGGCTTAACTAGTCTGAGCCCATCCGATGAAAAATTGAATCGGAACGGTTTCGGGCCTAAGGGCCCAGCTCGGCCCACCCATTTATCACCTTTAAGATTGTGGAAACAAATGTGATAATTTTAAAAAAAATTAAAAAAATAGTCGTTGAACCGGGTTCAAAAGTAACTTTCATTGACCGAGTTTGACCGATCCGGTTAACCGGTAAAAAAATATATACGGACCAACCCCCTAACCCAGCCCTACCCGATCCCCTTCCACCGGGCCAGTCCGGAACCGGGTCAACCCGGCTCGTTAAACAGGTTTAGATTCACTACATCGATTCTGCAAAATTTGAGTAGTTAAAGTTTTTTTACCTACCAGTTTGGGTCTTTTGTTAAGTGGACTAAACCTGCTCAAGTTTGGCAAACTTAAAGGACAATAAATACTTAGCACAATAGATAAAGAATAAAGTTAAACTTAACTAAGGGACAATTTTAGCTAAAAACTAGGTTCTAGATACTTTGATTAAGTTAGAATGACAAAATGAATTAACAGTCTCCACTCTCGAGTGTCCAAGCAGATTAAAGACAATACCATATATAGTAACACTAATTCAACGGTATCTCAAATTTGCGTGGTAACTGGCAAATGATCAGTAATTTCTATTATTTAGAAGTGGGAGTTTGAGGGTACGAACATGGCATTCCTGAACTGTCCAAAACGAAGTGTGAATAGTACTCTATGTTTGGCCCATAGTTGTTGGTGAAGTAACACGTGTCTGCACTTTTCCTTTACCTTACCACGTGTAATTCATTTCAAATGCTCCTCTGTTTCAATTTGCAGAGTGCAGACAGATTACAACTCCTCTAATTTTCTCTCCTTCGCACACTCTGCAAGTTTAGTGAGTTTTACAATTCGTCTGGGCTTCTTTTGATCCTTTGTGTTTGAGATTTCTCCTCTGTCTATGTTCATATTTCTTTCATAAATTCTGTCTTTTTGTGATTTTTCATTCTGCTTGCCTCAATTTTCTAGCGTCTATTGTGTTTATTAAGTTTTATAAATTTTCTCCCCTGTTTCTTTTTCTTGTGTTGTGTTCTGGATTTCATTTCTAGATTTCTTTGAAAGTTTTGTCTATTTTTGTTCGATGTTGGTTTCTCTATTCTTTTGAATAATTTCTTGCTAGATTTTCTACATTCATGTCTGGTATTTCTATCTCATTTGATATGCATGTCTTCCTTACTTCTGCTTTTGGCCATGAATTCTTGATTCATTTCAAAATTTCTATTGTGGTTCCCCTTTGTATGTGGATTTGCTGATTTTTGTTCTCTGTTTCTTCTTGATGAGCATTTAGATGTTCGATTTTATTTTTTGACAAGATTATTGATTTACAATTTTCACTCTCTCTCAAAGTATCTTTGCCTTTCGCTTTGTTTTTCTTTTTAATACTCCTACAGAGTATGTGATTTTGGATATTTGTTTGTTTCTCCTCTTTCTTCATGTATGTAGTTATTTTTAAGAACTCTTCTACAGAAGCACTGAATTGCCATCAGGAATAAATAGTAGTAACAAAAATGGAAGAACTTTGATGCAGCAAAAGTGTTTGACAATAAACCTGAAACAATTGAACAAGTTTTTATTCCTTTTTTTTCCAGTTGTTCTATTACATAAACATACTATCATTTAGCAACTCAAAACAACAACAACAATTAGTGAGATCCCACAAATGGGGTCTGGGGAGGTAGTGTGTACGCAGACCTTACCCCTGGTAGACCCTCGGCACAAGAAGGATCATTTAGCAACTCCAAATGTACATTACTTCTACTAGACAAAATTACTGAACAATATCTTATGTATTATATACTATTTAGTTAATTCACTATAAATAAAAAAAGCTAATTACTGACTCGGTTCAGAACAACTTTTGCTAGCAGGTAACTAAATGGGAGTTGACAAGACAATACGACCCATTAAAATATAAGTTACCCATACATGGATTCGGTTAGATGAAACCATCCCAAAGGGTCAGGACAAGAGCTTGCGGAAGAAGATCTACAAGTGTTAACACAAGTGTTAAGAAGTCAATTTTTGCTCCATGCTGGTTCCAATTTCGTATTTTATATGCAGGTACTTTGTGATAACAATGGGATATATTTGAACATGAATATGTGTCCAATGATATAAAAATATGGGTTTGAGTAGAATTGACATGTAACCCGTGGCGGACGCACATGGTGGCAAGCGGGTTCAACCGAACCCGCTTCATCAAAAATAATACTGTGTATATGTATAAATTAGGATTAAAGCTGCGTAAATTTTGTATAAATATTTTATTTGAACCCACTTAACAACTACTATTTTACAACTAAAGTTATGTACTTCTAATATTGAACCCGCTTGCATAAAATTCTGGGTCCGCCACTGCATGTAACCACATAGTTTAAAGGAGCAATGCTCTCGACTTCTAAAGTAACCAAATTCCCAAGCTTTCTAGATTAGTTATGAACTCTTGCAAGGCATGTGAACTTGATTTTGGTAATGTTTTCATGCATGATTATGTAGTTAAAAGAAATTCTTGCTTGAGATTTTAATGAATTAAATAGATTCGTCAAGCCTTTCTTGTGAGCTTATCTCAAAGTTATGATATATACAAATTTATTATAAGCTTAATGATATCATCTAGACATGGGCATCTTTATATGAATGCACATGCTTAATCTTAGCTAGCAACTTTCTGTGATGTTTCATATGTTTTCTGTTTTAGTTTGGTGTAAGTGACATTTTGACCTACATTGATGCAAAATATGAAGTTGTGAAGTCTTACATATTTTGGTATATGTACCACGTGAACTTTTCAAATCCAAATTTACTCGAGTCACAGGGGAGATGGCCCAAAAGTTGCAAAGTGATTGAAGATGTACAATTTTTCTCTCTTTATATTTCTTTCTTGACTCCGTTTTTGGGGTATGAACAAGTAGTTGTATGTTCTGTGATCGGAATTTGGACCCATCGCCTGTATTTTCTCCACTTCGTATAACGATATTGCTTATCCATTTGGCCTGAATCAAACTTGGATAAGAATAGCTTGCACAAGACTTTGCTTTTTTCAGGTATTAATATCTATAGAAGGGAAAGAACATGTGATGAACAAAAAGAGCAAGAGCCATCAAGAGGGGCTTGGAACTTTTAGAGAGAGTAAAGTGGTAGCTTCATGAGAATCCTGTGTTGAAATAGATTTTCGACTTGACATTTCTGAAAACAAGTTGTTTCCATCTTCCTTTGATTTTTGCTAAGGGAGTTGCATCTTAGTCCACCTAGGGAGTAGCGGATGATAAATTGATCACATTACTGAAGGATAAACTTGGGATAAGAAAACTCTAATGCTACTTGATGCCTTTTACAATGTATCTGCTAGCCGATTTTTTGAGTCCTTTATATATAACTTGGCAGCTTATGATGCTCCATTGTTGGCAAGATTATTGTTCATATCGTCCAGATTCCACAGACGTCATTATGACCAACAACAAATTTTTCGAGTATTATAAATAGATACTTTTTACCTGTTAACGAGAACTCTAATTTTTTTGCTGATTAATTATAGAAGAGGCAAACGTGTAATAATTTAGTACCTACAATTCAATCAAGTTAGTTTTACCTTATTGTGTGATTAGTTATATCTATTTTATATGTGAAATATAGCTGGGCAATTTTTAATGTACTTATCCTATTTATTTGAAAACATCCTCATAAGTTTAGCTATTTTTATAGGAGTTTCCTCTATACTTCGCTATGGCATAAACTGCAATTCGCCTTGGATTGTTCAATAATATTTTGATTTGATTTCTCATTTCATCAAATAAATCTTTGTGCTAATAGATACTATGTTTGTCTTAAGGGTTTAGAGTTCTTACGAACTCCTTTGAGATGAAAAAACCTTTTGTTTATTTTTTAATTAGCAGTTATGATTTCCTTGCTTGCTTACTCAGTAGTTATTAATGTCAAGTATCACTTGATTACACATATTACAGTTTGTTATGATGATTGGTTCTTTTACATGGTAGCATGAGTTATTAATGAGCAAACATAGTTCTTTCGTATTAACTGTCCTGCCATGTTATGTCGAAGAGATTATCATTTGCAATTATATCTTGCAACATAAATAAGAGACAGTTCTTTTGTTGCTTGATGCTCGGGACAGGACAACAGTGTTATATTTTCTTGTGAAAAAATAATATTTTACCTATTTGTTTTTCACTTAGCAGAGATTCGTGAAGGCTGCGAGGTGGTTACAATATCATATGAGGAAGCTAAGAAAAAGTCAAAGATAATTGTAAGCTCCATAGAAGCTGAAAACTGACATGAAATTCACATATGTTGCTACCTGCCATAATTATGAGAATCAAAAGAGAAGATGTACAACTGCTATTTTAGACATAATGGTCAGGTAGGTTTCTGGTTTTTCAAAAGGAACAGGTAAAATATCCAAGAAGTTGAATTCTTCTCTACTCAAATGGATTTAAATGATTTTGGTGAAATCTGCTTCCTGTGTAACATGTGCAGCAATTCCTCTCTCCGTGTGGCATATATTAAATGCTGAGTTTAATTGATTTTCAGTACAGCGGGCAAAGGATGAACCACACCACATTAATTGTTCTAGAATTGCCATTCGTCTAATTGCTCTTTGTGATGCAACGCACCATGGAAAAGAAACGACGACACATACAATGCTCAAGAATCCTTTCAACTGGCATTCTGTTGCTGGTATCAAGCGGTGATCCTACTGCTACTATTCCCCAACTGAGTTCTTTATAATTCAAAATGGTGATGATATGTAGAAACTAAAGAATATAGAAATGCATTCTCTTGCAAACAATTGGTGACGAGCATTCAGTAAACTAATGAGTCCAAAGTGCAAGAGAAGCCAAGTGTAATCCACTATGTTACTTAGTTTGCTCTTTGCTGTTGTGAATTTTTTTTACTGCATATAAAAGTTGAACAAGCAAGAAGAATATACCAGCTTTCTGGATAAGAAGTGGGCATTGACTGAGGCAACAAACTTTATAAGGAATTTGGAGAATCTATCTGAAATGTAGTCTCTATATTTCAACCTGTCCAGCATTCATTATTTTGGTAAAACTCAAGTTTGTGCAGAGATTCCACAATGATGGTATACACCAACTACTTATGTTACTTTAACCAAGTTTTTTTTTTTTTATTGTGTATGTGTAATCTTAATTCTTAGGGATTATCCACAAACTTTACTAAGAGGTAAGAAGGCATATCTATTGTAGAGTTCAATAATCGAATATGGCTTCCACTAATGTTTGGCCCGTGATTACACGGGCAACACCTTCTAGTAGTAGTATATATTGGCAAACTGATCAAAAGAAAAATAAGTGCAAAGGTAAATACAAGATAATGTGATATCTTTGTATTTTTGGGTGGTAAAATCCATACTTTTGGAGGAAAGAGACATTAGAAGATTTCATCATTATAAAGCCTAGCTATACGTAAGTTTTTTCAAACGAGGAAATGTATGCAGTCTTATAGATAACTAGAGATATTAAATTGTATGAGAGTAAATGGAGAACTACGATAGGGCGAGGAGAGTGCGTATATATCATTACTAAAAAAAAAAACGGGGAAAATCGACCGATTGGTGACGGTCGTTAATCGTAAGGTCGGTAGAGCTAACATGTAATGACCCAATCGGTCATTTTAACTTTCGAAACTCCGTTCCCTAAAATAAAACTTCCCGTATGTGTTTTTAATGATTTATGACTTGCAGGGATGATTGGTTCGGGATTTGGAAGTGTTCGGGTTGAAATCGGAACACTTGGTTCCTTAAGTTAGCCTTAAAAGGCCAAGTTTGATTTCGGTCAACATTTTGAGAAAACGATCCCAGAATCGGGATTTGACGGTTCCAATAGGTTCGTATGATGATTTCAGACCTGGGCGTATGTTCGAATCGGGTTTTGGATAACCCGGAAACGTTTTGGCGCTTAATAATGAAAATCAACTATTTGAAGGTTTAAAGTTCTTTAAATTTGGTTTGGAGTAGGTTTTTGAGTAATTGAAGTCCGTTTGAAATTTCGACTTTGGGAATAGTTCCGTATAGTGATTTAAGACTTGCACGCAAAAATTCGTGTCATTCCAAGTATTTTAAGTATGTTTCGGCGCATTGAAAGTAAATTGAAAAACTTGAAGTTCTTAAGTTTGAATCAATTTGGTTTGGGGTATGATTCATAGATTTGATGTTCTTTTACACGTTCCGTGAGTTCGAGCGAGTTCGTTTTACGATTTCAAACTTATTAGTATGTTCGGGCGGGGGTACCGGGGACCCTCCGAGTGTCAATATTTCGGACGAGGCTCGGACCAAGTTGGAAATTGGGAGCCAGAACTGAAGCTCCCAGCTACTGTCAGAATCGCACTTGCGCTTGGGCAGCCGCAGGTACGACATTCGCAGGTGCGGCAGAAGCTCGCAGGAGCGACACTCGCAGATGCGAGATTTATTAACAGAAACGAAGAGGGAAGGGGAGGCCTGCCATCGCAGGTGCGGAATCTCGAGCACACCTGCGAACGCGCAGGTGCGAGAAGAAGAGCGCAGATGCGGAGCTGGGCAGTCAAGTAAGCTCGCACCTGAGAGGCTTTTCCGCAGGTGCGAAATCCCTGCTTGGCAGAATGTGTTAAAATCGGGGCTCAGACATTTTGAGCTCATTTTTCCTCCATTTCGGGGCGATTTAGAGCTTTTGAGAGGGGGATTTTAACTAGCAATTGGAATGTAAGTTAATTCCACACCCCTTGAGTTAAATATATAGATTATAGGTAGATTATAACAAGTAAATCTTAGAAATCAAAGATTTAGATGAAAAACCTAGATTTTATAAAAACGAGATTTTAACCACGAAAATGGTTATGAAATTAGATAGAAATTATATATTTGATTTCTTGAGATTATGGGTAACGTTTTCATCGAAAATATTTCGGAATCCGGGGGTAAATTTTAGGAATTTTACTGTTTTAGTTAGAGTAATTTAATTAATAGCCTAAATTCAAATTATTGAACATGTATTAATTATTTTGTATAATATTTAGATAGCTTCGGAATTTTCGACACCGAATTGTGAACTTAACGCGACGTGGTAATCGAAAAGTGGACTTTGAGACAAGGTAAGTCTCTTGTCTAATATTGTGAGGGAAAAATTACCCCATAGGTAATTAAACTAATAATTATTGCTAATTGTGGGGGCTACGTACGCACGAGGTGACGAGAGTCCGTACGTAGCAACTATTGATGCTAAAGTTCGGGTAGTTTAGGACTCAAAGCATGAATTACTTGTGTAAATTATATCCGTTATTTAATTAAATTATTTGGTATATATTGTGAATTATTAGGAAAAAATATTAAAAGATAAAAATCTCATATGCTTAATTTTCTGTTTAAATTAATTAATTATTAAAAGAAATTGTTCATCCTCTCGAATTGATCTTTTAATGAATATACTCTCCTTCCGGAGGTACATAAGAAAATGTCCTCCTTTCTTGTGGAGCGGGTCGAACGCCTCGGTATGATAGATGCATCTATGGATCGTGTCGCACGTCCCTGTACACGACACTCTAGATCGGGCCGTACGACCTCGGCAGAAATCGTGCCTAATAATAATAATAATTACTCGATACTTTGCTATTTTAATTGCAGCTTGTGAATTTAATTAATAGATGGAGAATTGTTGCATTTGAAGAAATTTAATTGATAAATTAGAAATTATTGAAATTGAAAGAATTAATTATCTCTGCTTGTTAAGGAAATTATTGTTGTTCCTATAAATGAGGCTAATTGATAAATTAAAAATTTATTGGGATTGAAGGAATTAAATTATTTTTGCTGGTTAAAGAAAATCATTGTAAATTTTATAAATCATGTTGATCTAGATATTGCTATCTTTATTTCATTTATTATTATTGACTCTTAGTGAATGTCAAAGTCGGCCATCTCGTCTCTACCTCTTCGAGATTAGGCTTGATACTTATTAGGTACACGTTGTTACACCTCTTTTTTCCCGTAACCCTTATTACGAGGTTGAGTTAGAAGAGTGTTTCCAATTGAAGTGACACTTTGAAAAGGGATTATTTATTATTTAGAGTCGCCACTTAGAATTGAGTTTTGGTGTTCCAAATTACCTTTCATTGAATCCCTTATCAAAAGAAAGATTTGACTCCTAATTTATGGTCTACGAAAATAGAAGACTGAGTAAGGAATTCTGTTGATCGAGGGGAAGGTGTAAGGCACCCCTCCAGTCGCGTGGTTCTAGCACGATCGCTTTATTGACTAATGTAAGGCTTAAATCAATTTCTATCTATTCTTGTATTTTATTGATTATGGATTATTTATTACCGCCTAATTAATTATTATATTTTTATTAATTGTGTTCACCAAGATGCGGGATGCACACAAGGTACTTCTTTGAAATAGAATGTTAAACCAAGGTACGGAATGTACACATGGTCTAATATTTAAAGTACAGCTAAAAATTTTCTAGCGTTTTAGAATATTTCAAATATTTACTTTTATAGATCTAAGATATTTATTTAATTATTTATTTATTTTACTCTTTCCTTTTTCTTTTGCGACGAGTCTTGTATTAATTTGCGACTCGCCTCACTCCCTCACACAATTGTTATTTTTACTCTTTCTTTCTTTAATTTACTAGACAAATCCCCTTCATATCAGATGACCAATATAAACAGACAAACAATTATGTATTCGAGACAATCATGAACTCAAACAATTAATAACAAGAAAGAAAGACATAAGAACGATTAAACATAATACTGCCCAAGCCGAATTTCTCAGTGTCCATTTCACAAAGTTTGCACTTAATTCAATTTTAATATTTTATCTTAAATAAATAAACTCATTGACCAAATAAATCTCATGAATGAAATAAGGAACAAACAATATAATATTCCTTTAAAATCCTTAACCAAATGAAACAATCAAGTGATTTAACATAAGAAAACAACAAACAGCATTCAACTAAAAATAGTAAAGAAAGGTGAAAATAATGGACCTTTAATAACGTAAAAACTTTCTGACTTTATAAACAAAATGCTCCACACGAATTGTTTGCGTAAAACACAACAAGATTTGAATCAAACTGATAAACCGCATCGGCGACCTCGAAACCGATCGAACTCAACCAACTGAACCTTGGACAAACATCATGGTGTTTCAGTGATTTTGGGATGAGCTTTATGGACATTTTGAGCTGGTTTTAGGTGAGTTTAATGGTGGAAACTGGGGTGGTAAATATGAAGATTGGCAGCTCTTCAATGGCTGCATTTTCATGGGATTTGGGGATGTTTTAAAAAGGCGAAAGAACTGATTTTGACGTGAGAAATAAAGATGTTTTCATGGCTGAAATTTCTTAACTATTGCTATGGAAAGCTTCAAGCACAGAAGCACACTTTTTCGTTTTCTCTGCCTCCGTTTTCTCTCCTTGTTTTTACGTTTTTTTTTGTTCTTTCTTTTGTGTTTATATATAAATGGAAGGAGATCATGCATTCATAGATATGGGTGTTGATGAGATCATGTGCATGTGATGTTGTGTGTGGGGTGAGAGACGGGAAAGTTAGGGAGTGTGGGGGGGAGAAACGTGAGGCTGGTGGGGAGTTTTTATGAGGGGAGACGTGAAGAAGAGGGGAAGTGAAGGGGTTAGGAAATAAGCAGACCGTGGGATTAGATTAGGCTAAAAATAGAGATAATGGGATTGGGATAGTTATTAGCAAATATCATATTTTGAGATAAAAATTTGTTAACAAACTTTATCTTTGTGACGTTAACTTCATTTTGCTTATTTTTATTTTTATTTTAAAAGATAAATTAAGATAAGAATATTAACCAACATGTCTTACAATATAGGAAAACTAAATATTTACATGTACTTTAAATGATACTAAGAAAGATTCTATAGCTTACTTATTAAAATTCTAATTAAAAGAAACCATATATATATATATATATATTTGAACTATTTTTAGAGATAAAATTTATACTCTAAGAATGTGACTATTTTTGTAGTTTTTTTTTTTTAAAACAAAACCTTTTAAGAGTAAGATAAAAGTTTAAAATATTAAGATTAAACCTAAAAA